AATTACACACCTCTTTGATTTTCTTTTCTATGATAGGGACAGTGGATTTCGTCTCATTCCCAACCTTTGTCTCTCCAATCTTGTGGCATGCAGCTATAAATGTATTTAGACCATCTAACTCTCCTGTCATACATTCTTTATGTCCTAGGAAGGAGGTTCATGGATTGCCTCTTATTCGTTATATACAGCATGATACGTGAGGTCCTGATCTTATCTGTGATGCATCAGTGTCCTAAAGCCTAGGCCTGGCTTTATGTCTATTTTCAATCTCACTTATGGGAATTCTGCTTTTGTCACCATCTCTCTGCACTGATCTGAAGGTTTTGTTGGAAATATTTGTAAATTCAGCTTCCATTTTCCTATTTTCCTCTATTTTAATAGGCACCATCTTCTCATTATTAGTATTAGTGATAAATCTACTGCATTTTTTAGGTGATGAGGATCTTACATTACACTTGTGGGTGGGTGTTCTAAGATAAACTCTGTACTCCTCCACTAGATTTTGAGACTCTGGAGGGTAGGAACCATGTTTTCAGCTGAACAGAGTCATAACTATCATTTATTTAGCACCTACTATGTACCAGAGACTTTGATTTATTTCAATGAATTACCATAAAAATAATATAAACATGAGAAACCATTTCAGACAGCTTAAGTAACTGTCCAAGGTCATCTAGTTTGTGAGTCAGAGTTGGATTTTGACTCAGTTTGATCTTAAATCCTCTTTTCTAAATCATCTTTCCAAACTCCTTTTTAAAGGAAAGGAAAGTCACTCAGTTGTGTCCAGTTCTTTCAGACCCCATGAACTATATAGTCCGTGGAATTCTCCAGTCTGGAATACCAGAGTGGGTAGCCGTTTCCTTGTCCACGGGATCTTCCCAACCCAGAGATCGAACCCAGGTCTCCTGCATTGCATGTGGATTCTTTACCAGCTGAGGCACCCGGGAAGCCCAAAGGAAAGGATAGATACAGGTAACAGGAATGGGATTTTGGCCTGTAGATGGTTGATGAAACTGATGTGGAGTTGCATTCTTAAAGAAAAGGAAAGGAGATCCATAGATCTTCAGAACCCTTGCTTTTCTCACTAATCTCCACTGACTTGCATTACTGGCATTCAGGGACAAGTAGCAAATGTCCTTCAACTTTCAAGGCAGAAGTCACCTCTCCCGTGTGCTTTTTATTCATGTCAGAGAGACTCAGATTGTGTGTCTCTGAAGAAAATTGGAGTGAATCCATGATTATAATCCATGGTGAGGAGTCAGGGCTGCTTTGAAGTCACCCTTGACTTACTGAAGATCCAAGGATCTTTGCTTGTAATTCAGACCACCAGAATGTGCCCACTGGATTTGGCAAGTGATAGAAAGTATATAAATCTTTATGAAGTTGAAGCTTTGTTGAATGTGCCCGGAGAACATTTTCCATTTAATGTATTTGGAAACTCTAAATAGAATTCCTTTTGGGGCGTAAAAGTAATTGCTTCAGAAAAGAAAAAAATAAAAAGTCAGTTCTTTAAAAGGCTTAACTCCTTTCATGAACATTTGCTTTTTAATGACTGGGAAATTCCTGTATAGGAAAAAAGTTTCCTTTGGCAAAAATTAGGTCATTCTGGTCTTAACTGTCCCTATGCACTCTGGTTCTTGCTTTATGTTCCATGTTTTGTCACTAGAGGTTATTGGAAAGATAATCCCTCTGTGGATATTCACTGCTTTTAGAGCATGTTGCCAAAGTGAAAGTTATCTTAGCTCACAAACTGCCAAACCAGTACAAGAGACTGAGATTACAGAAGTACTGAGCCAGTGACTGATAATGACTTGCTTTAGGTTGGCTATGAGTTGGCTTTTTAAAACATACTTTTCATGTGCATTAGGATTGCCGTGTCTGTTTCACTCTCTTCAGATTTTTCAACAGCCTCATTGCTTGGGTCAGGAATAATATATTTTTTCTAGATATGTTATTCTGCTTTGATTCTCTTTTGTTGAACAGAAACATCTATACGAGTTTGAGGCCTCATGAACATCTTATCCCAGTATAAATGAAAAACAGGTTGAAAGAAATCACCCTGTACCTCTTTCCCTGAACACTTGGAAGCTGATTCTTCCTCAAATTAATTTCTGAAATGGCTTGACTAAAGTGAAGAATATGTCTGAACTCTTTTGTTTGCTCAATTAAGAGGTTCTTCCAAATGGTAGTATAGAATAGTTCTCAGTGGTTGCTCTTGATTTAATTGAAACTCAATTTTCTCAAGCTTTTTTTAAAAAAAACTTATCCATGTAACCTTATACAGGCTAAAATCCCATTCCTGTTTTCTGTATCTGTCCTTTCCTTTAAGAAGGAGCTTGGAAAGATGATTTTTATAAAAGAGGATTTAAGATCAAACTGAGTCAAAATCCAACTCTGACTCACAAACTAGATGACCTTGGACAGTTTACTTAGGATATCTGAAATGATTTCTCATGTATATATTATTTTTAAGGTAATTAATTGAAATAAAGTCTCTGGAACATAGTAGGTGCTAAATAAATGATAGTTATGACTCTGTTCAGCTGAAAACATGGTTCCTACCCTCAAGAGTCTCAAAATCGAGTGGGGGAGCACAGAGTTTATCTTAGAACACCCCCCACAAGTGTAATGTAAGATCCTCTTCACCTAAAAAATTAGCAGACTTATCACTAATACTAATAATGAGAAAATGGTGCCTGTTACAATAGGGGAAAATAGGAAAGTGGAAGCTGAATTTACAAATATTTCCAAAAAACCCTTCAGATCAGTGCAGAGAGATGGTGACAAAAGCAGAATTCTCAAAAGTGAGATTGAAAATAGACATAAAGCCAGGCCTAGGCTTTAGGACACTGATGCACCACAGATAAGATCAGGACCTCATGTATCATGCTGTATATAACAAATAAGAAGCAATCTGTGAACCCCCTTCCTAGGACACAAAGAATGTGTGACAGGAGAGATAGATGGTCTAAATACTTTTATATCTGCATGCCACAAGATTGGAGAGACAAGGGTTGGTATTGAGACAAAATCCACTGTCCCTATCATAGAAAAGAAAATCAAAGAGGTCTGTAAGTTTTTCTTTCCTTCCCCAAAACTAAGACAACCATTTTCTACAAAGGAGGTTGTTGAAACTTTTGAGTATTAGGTAGGGAGATTTTTACATGTCTGCTGCACATTTTCATAGGGAGGTAGACATGGAAGAAGTTCAGGAAAACCCTGACAAAAAACTGTGTAGACTCCTTTAAATCATAAATCCTTTATATCCTAAAGAAAATCAGTTTGAAGGATTAGGGATGGGAAATAAACTGATATTTATTAACTGTTTCTTAGTACCAGCATTGTGCTAGATCCTTCTGCAGATTACCTTTTTTAGATTTACCTTGGTTTGCGTAGTTAATTAGTGGCAGCCCACGAACTACTATGCTGCCCTCATATCTTAAAGGATCTGGGTTAGAGTCATTTTGTTGTGTTGTTCAGTCACTAAGTTGTGTCTGATTCTTTGCAACCCCATAGACTGCAGGATGCCGAGCTTCTGTGTCCTTCACTATCTCTCTGAGCTTGCTCAAACTCATGTCCATTGAGTCAGTGATGCCATCCAACCTTCTCATCCTCTGTCATTCCCTTCTCTTCCTGCCTTCAGACTTTCCCAGCATCAGGGTCTTTTCCAGTGAGTCAGCTCTTCGCATCAGATGGCCAAAGTATTGGAGCTTCAGCTTCAGCATCAGCCCTTCCAATGAATATTCAGGGTTGATTTCCTTTAGGATTGACTGGTTTGATCTCCTTGCAGTTCAAGGGACCCTCAAGAGACTTCTCCAGGATCACAATTTAAAAACATCAATTCTTCAGCGCTTAGCTTTCTTTATGGTCCAACTCTCACATCCATGCATGACTACTGGAAAAACCATAGCTTTGACTAGATAGACCTTTGTTGGCAAAGTGATGTCTCTGCTTTTTAATACACTGTCTAGGCTTGTCATAGCTTTTCTTCCAAGGAGCTAATTAGTGGCAGCCCATGAGATTACCAAACTATCATACTGCCCTCATATCTTGAAGGATCTGTGTTAGAGTCATTTTGTTATGTTATTTAGTCACTAAGTTGTGTCTGACTCTTTGCAACCCCATGGACTGCAGGATGCTGAGCTTCCGTGTCCTTCGCTGTCTCCATTTTAATTTTTAATTCTTTTAAATTCTTTTAACTTCATGGCTGCAGCCACCATCTGCCGTGATATTGGAGACCAAGAAAATATAAAATTCATCCATGGCTATAATGGCTCAGTGTTTTGATAAGCTTTTTTTCCTGCTTGATTGATTAGAGATTTTTATTATTTAAAAAATTCACTGTCTTGTCACTGAGAATTTGGTTCTTATAATTTGTTAATAAAATCTGTGCTTTAAGATTTTTGTTTGACTCATGCCTCCTTAAGTCTGAGACTCCAAATTGAGGCTTCATTGCCTAAATACGTCTTGGAATAATTCTTGGTCTGAGTTTAGGAAACTGTGTTCAGCTGTTATGAAGAGGAGGGGATTATAAAATTCAGCCATGAGCTGCTTAGTTATTTTCTGCAGATCCTAGTTCTTGCCCCAAACACTGTGGCCTTCCGAGGAGGCTCTGAAACCATTGCTTGAGATCTCTTGAGAAAGTCAGGCTTCACCTGGGTATTACTCTTCTCTAGAACACCCTTCCTCCACTGCCCCCCTGATCAACGTCTAGGTTTATTTTAGGTACTCAATGAGTATTTCTTTGAACTTATTAGCTGGTACAAAAGCTTTGGGGAAAATATGGCTAAGGAGTGCTATCATACTTGAAATTGGGAAATTCAGAGTGATTACCGAGTGTCTCATATTCTTGTGGGGAAAATACATGGCAAAATTCACAATCAGTTGATATTGTAAAGCAAAAATTCTTATGAGATGACTCAGAAACTACATATCTGCTTATGATACTCAGAATGGGAATGACACTGATTTGCTGATAATGTATTATTATTATTCTGTAGCCCCAGATGATACAGCAGACTCTCAAGAGGACACTGCAATATTATGAGCACCAAGTTACAGGGTAAGGAAAAATGGATTTTGGTTTTTATTGGGAACAAGTTAAAGATAATTCCTACGTAGAGAATAGAGTTGTGGTTGCTAAGGGAGAGAGGGTTGGGGGAGGGATGGAGTGGGTGGTTGGTGTTAGGAGATGTAAACTATTATATATAGAATGGATAAACAACAAGGTCCTAGTGTATTGAACAGGGAACTATATTTAATATCCTGTTATAAATCATAATAAAAATAATACATATATAAAGGATGTATATATGTGTAACTGAATCACTTTTCTGTATAGTAGAAATTAACATATTATAAATTACTATAACTAAATTAAAAAAGAGTAATTACTCAAGTGTAGTAGTGGAACATGTGGTTTTCTGCCACCCCAGTCAACCTTATTGCACAGTGGTTGTGCTAAGTGTGGAGTGGGGACTCATAGGGGCCCTGTGTTTATTGGAATTATTTCTGTCAAAGGATTATTTGTGTTGAATCCTTCTTAATAAAATCCCTTTTGCTATTGCTTTCCTTTTCTTTTTCCTTCTTATGCTCTTACCTTCTCATTCTCATTCATTGAATTTCATATTTTGCCTTCGTAATATGGTAAGGTTTTAAAGGAAATTTTAGGATCCTTCAGTCAAGTTTAATCAAAATCACTATAAGCTTAATACAGTTGAGTGAGAAGTATTTGTTTTGTTTAGTTAGAGACCTGAGCTAGAGAGTTTCCTTTATTTATTCCCTCTCTTTGAAGTGGTGTGGTCTGGTGTAAAGAAAGAAGATTTAACATCATGAGACAGGAATTCAAGGCCTCACTAGGGAATAGAACTTAAAAGTAACTTTATCTGTTTTAAATGGTGATGATGATGATTATAACTATATCAAGGATTATTTGTCATTATTAAATGAGGTAATTTTAATATAAGTATTTTGTAAGCAGAAACCTCCAAATAAGTGTAAGGTGTATCTTTGATTGGCTATGACAGAAAGCAGTTGGCAAATCTAAAAGCCTAAATTCACTTTCTGATGTAGTCTAGCTATTTAAATTAAATGTACAATGTACCACAGCTATTTATCTTTGTAGGAGTTGAAGAACTTCTGAGGAGTCAAGATTCAAATCCTGGTATCTCTTGAAAGGCTATAGGGAATCATATAACACTTATGGGTCATAGTCATAAGTCATAGGGATCAAGAACATATTTTTGGCTTTTATGATATACTGTAACTTTTTTTTTCTACAAAATAGAAGGGAGGAAAGCAGAGGAGAAAAATAATCTCAGTATCTAGTATAACACCATACACTTTAAGTGCTTGATTAGTATATTAAGTATCATTTCAAAGGAAATTGCTCTGAAACTTTGTCATATCAATCCTCAAGAGTACAGTACTAGGGAAAACATTACTTAAACTCATGAATGACTTTTAATTTGAGGCTATCATCTAAATGCTTTATTTTAAGGGAGATAAACAATGTAAATTAATCTCTTCCCATGTACTCTAAAATAAAGCAATCATTCTCCTTTGATTTGCTGCTTTCAAAGTGTGGTGTTTGGTTTAAATTAGTCAATGTATTTAGAATAGTTTCTGGTACATGGTAAGCACCACATGCTTGTTTACTCTTATGTTTATTATCATTATATTTTTAAGTATTTTAATGACAATATCAGCAGTGTAACTTGACATCTGGGATCTTAGTTTCCTGAACAGGGATTGAACTCATGCCACCTGCAGCAGAAATGCAGAGTCCTAACCACTGGAACACCAGGAAATTCCCCATATTTATTGTCATTAAATTTTTAATATGTTAATGACAATACACCAAAATAAATAACACCCCAAAAATGATGTCCTTTTCACCACAGGGGACTAGAATGCAAAAGTAGGAAGTCAAGAGATACCTAGAATAACAGGCAACTTTGGCCTTGGAGTACAAAATGAAGCAGGGTAACGGCTAACAGAATTATACCAAGAGAATGTGCTGGTCATAGCAAACACCCTCTTTGAACAGCACAAGAGATGACTCTGCACATGGACTTGGATGGTCAGTTCCAAAATCAGATTGATTATATTCTTTGCAGCTGAAGGTGAAGAACCTCTATGCAGCAAGAAAAAAAAAAAAAAAAAAAAAGACCAGGAGCTGACTGTGGCTCAGATCATGAACTCCTTATTTCAAAATTCAGATTTAAATTGAAGAAAGTAGGGAAAATTACTAGGCTATTCAGGTATGACCTAAATCAAATTCCTTGGGATTATACAGTGGAAGTGAAAAATAGATTCAAGGGATTAGATCTGATAGACAGAGTGCCTGAAGAACTATGGACAGAGGTGTGTCGCACTGTACAGAAGGCGGTGATCAAAACCATTCCCAAGAAAAACAAATGCAACAAGGCAAAATGGTTGTGAGGAGACCTTACAAATAACAGAGAAAAGAAGAGAAGTGAGAGGCAAAGAAGAAAAGGAAAGATATACCCATCTGAATGCAGAGTTCCAAAGAATAGCAAGGAGAGATAAGAAAGTCTTCCTAGGTGAACAATGCCAAGAAATAGAGGAAAACAATAGAATGGGAAAGACTAGAGATCTCTTCAAGAAAATTAGAGATACCAAGGGAACATTTCATGCAAATATGGGCACAGTAAAGGACAGAAATGGTATGGACCTAATGGAAGCAGAAGATATTAAGAAGTAGCAAAAATACACAGAAGAAATATACAAAAAAGATCTTAATGACCCAGATAACCATGATGGTGTGGTAACATACCTAAAGCAGACATCTTGGAGTGCAAAGTGAAGTGGGCCTTAGAAAGCGTCACTATGAACAAAGCTAGTAGAGGTGATGGAATTCCAGCTGAGCTATTTCAAATCCTAAAAGGTGATGCTATTAAAGTCCTGCACTTGATGCCAGCAAATGTGGAAAACTCAGTAGTGGTCAAGGACTGGAAAAGGTCAGTTTTCATTCCAATCCCAAAGAATGGCAGTGTCAAAGAATGTTCAAACTACTGCACAATTGCACTCATTTGGCATGTCAGCAAAATAATGCTCAAAATTTTCCAAGCCAGGCTTCCAGAGTATGTGAACTGACTTCAACAGTATGTGAACCAAGATCTCCCAGATATTCAAACTGGATGTAGAAAAAGCAGAGGAACGAGAGATCAAATTGCCAACATACATTGGATCATAGAATAAGCAAGAGAATTCTGGAAAAGTGTCTACTTCTGCTTCATTGACTATGAGAAAACTTTTGACTGTGTGGATCACAACAAACTGTAGAAAATTATTCAAGAGATGGGAATACCAGGGCACTTTACCTGCCTCCTGGAAAACCTGTATGCAGGTCAAGAAGCAACAGTTAGAACTGGACATGGAAGAACAAACTGGTTCCAAATTGGAAACTGGTTCCAATTTTGTTCAAATGCAAAATATCAGGCTGGATGAAGCAGAAGGTGGAATCAAGACTGCCAGGAGAAATATCAGTAACTCAGATATGCAGATGACATCACCCTTGTGGCAGATACAGAAAAGCCTCTTGATGAAGATGAAAGAGGAGAGTATAAAAGCTAGCTTAAAACTCAACAATGAAAAACTGAAGATTATGGCATCTAGTCCCATCTTTTGTTGGCAAATAGGAAAACAATGGAAACAGTGACAGACGTTTTCTTGGGCTCCAAAATCACTGCAGATGGTGACTGTAGTCATGAAATTAAAAGATGCTTGCTCCTTGGAAGAAAAACTGTGACTAACCTAGACAGCATATTAAAAAGCAGAGACATTACTTTTCTGACAAAGGTTCATCTAGTCAAAGCTATGGTTTTTCCAGTAGTCATGTATGGATATGAGAGTTGGACCATAAAGAAGATTGAGTGCGAAAAAATTGATGCTTTTGAACTGTGGTGTTAGAGAAGACTCTTGAGAGTCCCTTGGACAGCAAGGAGATCAAACCAGTCAGTCCCAAAGGAAATCAGTCCTGAATATTCATTGAAAGGGCTGATGCTGAAGCTGAAGCTCCAATACTTTTTGGCTACCTGATGGGAAGAACTGACTCATTGGAAAAGACCCTGATGCTGCATGGCTGCAGGAGAAGAAGGGGATGACAGAGTACAAGATGGTTGGATGGGATCACTGACCCAATGGGCATGAGTCTGAACAAACTCTGGGAGGTGATGAAGGACAGGGAAGCCTGGCATGCTTCAGTGCATGGGGTTCAAATAGTCGGACATGACTGAGCAACTGAACAACAACAGCAGCAACCAGTAATAAAATGTGAGTTATGTTCTGAAATTATGACTGTCCTCTCCATTTTGAAATCAAATAATAACTGATGAAGTAGTCTTATTTGTGAACTAAACTATGTCTTTGTGGCAGGTTGGAGTGGGAATCCTAAGAATATGATTAAAATAAATAAACTGTATTTCTATAATCAGTAGAAAATTATTTTTTCTGTTAGTAGGATGGAGTTCTCTTTTACCTAAATAACTCCCTCAACTCTCCCTTCAATCTGTGTATTGCCTAAATGGTCCTTCCCTAGTTCTGTTCCGTGCAGCCACAGTATTTAAAAAACAGGCAGGGTATAGGATTTCCATATAAAGAGGTATATTAATGTCCTATTGGTTCTAAGACCTAGTAGCATATTTTTGCTTAAGCGTTGACTACCCTCTGAGAATTTGAAGTAACTTTACTCACTATCTTTCTTTTGTGCTCATACTGCTGAAGACAAAATGGTCATGATTTCCTTGTCTAGTACCCTCTTTGCCTTTTTTTCTTTTACATTGGGTTATAGCTAAATAACAGTATTGTGACAGTTTCAGGTGGAAAGCAAAGGGACTCAGCCACAGATATACATGTACGCATTCTCACCCAATTATCCCTCCTTCCATCCTGCCCCTGCTGGGAACCATACATTTGTTCTCAAAGCCTGTTTTGTAAATAAGTTCATTTGTATTGTTTCTTCTGAGGTTCCACAAACAAGAGATGTCATAGATATATTTCTCCTTCTCTATCTGACTTACTTCACTCAGTATGCTGATC